AGGCTGAACATCATGGTGGGAGAGTGTGGTGGAGAGAAGCAGGTCACAACATGGTGGTCAAGCCTGCCGAGTGCAGTGGTACACACCTGTTATCCCAGCAGCTAGGGAGGCTGAGACAGGCAGATTGAGAATTCAAAGCCAGCTTCAGCAACTTAGTGAGGCACTTAGCAACTAGCAAGACCCTGTATCTAAATAAAGTATAAAAAGGGTTGGGGATGTGACTCAGTAGTTAAGAACCTCTGGGTTCAATCCTCAGTACGAAGAAGGAAGAAGAAAGAAGAAAGAAGGAGAAGGAGGAGGAGGAGGAAGAAAAATGGCAATTATCAACACAGCCATTAAAATGACCCAAAGAGGGCTGAAGATGTAGCTTAGTGGTAGAATACCTGCCTAGAATATGCCAGGTCCTAGGTTTGATCTCAATAATGAAACAAAATAAGAAAATTCAAAGCTGGGCCAAGTGGCAGGTGCAGTGGCACATACCTATTAGCCCAACTATGAGAGGCTGAGGCAGGAGGATATCAAGTTCAAGGGCAGACTCAGCCATGTAGTGAGGTCCTAAGCAACTCAATGAGAACTTGTCTCAAAATAAATTAAATAAATAAGAAAGGTCTGGGGATGTAGCTCAGGAGTACTGTGCCTTTAATCCCAAACACCACATATTCCCGCATCCCCCAAAAAATATATTAGAGTGGGAATTTCCGAGGATAAGGAGCACAGTTAATGTTCTGAGAGGCAGAGTGAATAGGCAAAAAATGAAATGGGAAAATAGTACAGATAACTGAAGAATGAAAAATAAAGACTTTAAAAAATTACCCAAAGATTAAACTGTTTCATAATATATAAAAATAAGAAGCGAAGGTACTTAGTATTCATCCTAGGTTTTAAAGTTAACAAAGACCTTGGGATTTATATTTAAATGGATGTATTATAAAACACATACTCTCAAAGTTTTTCTTAATCTTACCATCTTAAGTATTTATCATTCTCCTGAATATTTTTATGTCTTTTTTTTTTTTTTTAATTTAAAGCAAAGGGGAGAACTATGGGGCTGTGGTTTTGGCTCAGTGGCAGAGCGCTTGCCTCGCATGTGTGAGGCCCTGGGTTCAATCCTCAGCACCACATAAAAATAAATAAATAAAATATTGTGTCCAACTACAACTAAAAAAAAAAAAAAGGTGTGTGTGGGGGAGAACTAGCTGGACGCAGTGGCCCACACTTGTAATCCCAGTGGCTCGGGAGGCTGAGGCAGGAGGATGGCAAGTTCAGAGCCAGCCTCAGCAATTTAGCAAGGCACTAAGCAACTCAGCGTGACCCTGTCTCCAAATAAAATATTAAAAAGGGCTGGGGATGTGGCTCAGTGGTTAAGTACCCCTGGGTTCAATCCCTGGTACACAAGAAAAAAAAAAGGGGAGAACTGTCTATATATATATATATAATTTTTGGTATTGGAGACTGAGCCCAGTGGTACTTTACCATTGAATCACATTCCAAACCATTTTTATTTTTTTTATTGTGAGACAGGACCTCAATCCTCCTGCCTCAGTCTTCAGATCTTCAGAGTTGCTGGAATTACAGGCCAGCAACGCTGCACCTGCTCATTAATACTTTTAACAGTATACTATCATCAGATACTATCATACTGCATGAATTCCTTTGCAACTTGCTTTTTTTCCTTTGAGCTTACTGTTAGACCAGGACGCAAGAAAAGACCACTGACTCCAATTAAAATCAAATTAAAGCAAGCTTATTATTTCGACCGGCCGGGCTGCCTCTCCCTCCCGAAACGGTGGGAACAAGACAGCACCCCAACTTTCCTGAAGCCCAGCTTTATAGCCCAGAAAGTTACACAAAGAGGGGTTACAGATAACAGAACTCTGACAAGCATCACACTAATGGTAGTTTACATTTTTTGCTGGCCCCAACATCAGAATTTATGAGGACCATTAGAGCCTCAGAGAGGGTCGTTGTCTGGCCAGGGAAGGCCAATATTTATGAGGTGTCACTAAGTTTCAGAGAGGGCTGCTATCTGGTCAGAGAGCCAGGCATGGGTGAGTTCAAGGCACGGGCAGGCATTCCAAGCAGGTTCAGAATTTGCAGTAATTTACAGTAAAGCTGAAATTATCTTTTCATGGTTTTGTGGGGAGATGCCCAATTATAAGAAAAGATCAGGTTGGGTCTATCACTTACATTTTTCATACCTTTTCTTCCTTACATCTTTTCTTTTTCCCCCCCTCTCTCTTTTTCTTTTCCTCTCTGTTCCTCCCTTCTTTAATATATATTTTTTAGTTTTTCGGCATCTTTGTTTGTATGTTGGGCTGAGGATCGAACCTGGGCCGCACGCATGCCAGGCAAGAGCACTACCACTTGAGCCACATCCCCAGTCCTGTTCCTCCCTTCTTTCTTTCCTTCCTCTTGCTTGCTTGCTTGCTGGGCTGAGGATCCACCCAGAGCCTTGAGCATACTAAGGCAGTGCTCTACCTCTGAGCTATTCTTCCAGCCTCTAGCTTACATTTTTTTAAATGAGCTTTTTATTTGGGAATAATTTTAAATCCATGGAAAAGTTGCAGAGGTTGCAAAGACAGCGCAGAGTTACTGCATATCTTCGCCCAGCTTTTCCAGATGTTAAAACTAAACATAAATATTCTTGACAGAACTAAGAAATAGGACTGGGGACAAAAACCTGGTTTTGATCTCCAGCACCCAGAAGAAAGCAAACAAAACTAAGACATAAACATTAGTATGATATTACTAGATAAATTAGATTTTGTTCAGATTTCACCAATTTTCCCACTCATGTCCCTTTTTTATTTCAAGATCTAATCAGGATATTCCATTACATTTAGCAGATTGCTGCTTTAGACTTATGATATGTGACATTTTAATTCACCCATTCTAATTAAAGTTATACTGCCATTGTTTGACCATACCACAATGTATTTATTCTCCTATTGGTAGCTGTTTAGGTTGTTTCAAATTTCTTTTTTGCTATTACAAACAATGATGTAACCCTTGTACTTTTGTTTTTATCTTATACTGTCAGGAAAGAAAGAGAATATCTATCTGTAACTTACATTGAAGAATAAACCTGTACCTTCAAAATCTGGCTCCGACTTTCTTTTCTAAATGCATCTTTCCCCGCAGCCTAACCTCCAGGTTCATGACTGGCTTCTCCAGCTTTCTCTAGTAGTTTTGTTTTGTTTGTTTGGTCTTTTTTTTTGAACTGAAGACTGAACCCAGGGGCTTTTTACCCCTGAACTACATTCCCAGCCCTATTCATTAATTTATTTATTGGTATGGGAATAGAGCCCAGGGCTGCTTTACCACTACACATCACACCCACCCCCAAACCTTTTTACTTTTTATTTTGAGACAGGGTCTTGCTAAGTTGCTTAGGACCTCACTAAATTTCCCAGATTGGCCTCAAATTTGCAATCCTTCTGCCTCAACCTCCCAAGTCACTGAGATTACAGGTGTGTCACCTGCCTGGCATTTCTAGTGTTTTCTAAATCTGCCCATTGCTTTCTTGTTTTCCAGTCTGACCTTTTCTGTATGTGTCCCTCACTGCACCCCTATCCCCAGTACTATTAGAATGTTGTACAGTTTAAGAGCAAAATGGGGTTAGTAAGGAAAGCTTAGATTTGGCATGACATAGACTTAAGCTTTATACTTGTGTACCTCTTCATCTGACAGAGTTAGTAATCATCTCCAATGTGCCAGACACTGTGCTAGGTACTCTGAAGTTGGTCCTTAGCCTCTTCTCTCCACTCTTCTCCTGGGCTATCTTATTCATACTAAATGGTTTTGAGTCTGAAATGTACAACTCTTGCCCAGACTTTGATTCCTAAGCTTCTAACCCATCCAACTGCTTCCTGGACATTCCCATTTGAATATCTCATAGAAAACCTCAAGCCACCCCGTTCAAAAATAAATTAATCACCAGCACACGTCTTGAATCTGTCCCTCTTCTGGTGCTCCTTATCTTGGAGAATGGCATCAGCCACTTCCCAGGAACTAGGGTAAATCCTTGTCTTCCCCAGCATCAGCCCAAAGCAGCACAAGTTCTGTCAATTCCATTACCTTAGAGCCTCTCATATTGGCCAACTGCATCCATTGATTAATTCATCCTGCATTTATTCGATGTCTTTTTGTGCCTGAACCTGTCCTAGGTTTTGGGGAAATAAAGCTAAGCAGGCCCTGTGCATCCCTCTGCCCACGTGCCACACCCATCCCTTCTGTTCACTTCTCTGCAGCCACCTGGCTTTCCTGATTTCCTTCTTCTAAGGTCCATTTTCCTATGGCTGGTTCTTTTTAGGCATTTAGTTCTCAACTCACATTTCCTGTTTTGTTCTCTCCAAACCACTGTCCAAAAGCATGTTAATTATGGCCTTTATTATTCATTGCTTGTCTACCCATTTAGGATGAAATCCCTGAGAGCAATGACTTTGTTCTTTGTCATCATTGTATCCCTAGTTCCCTAGTTTCAAAAACAAGGCCCAACACACAGAGGATACACAGAGAATACATAAATTGCCTGGAGGACCTTCCTTGATTTGTACAGGGAAGGGACAGAGGGGCCCAGCAATAGCAGAAAAGATCCAGCCCTCCAAAAGCTTATGGCCAAAAGTTGGGTCTGGTGGGGTGGTGTCCCTCCTGCCTGCAGAGGCCCTACACCTGGCCCTGCCACCTTCTCCAGCTTTCCCCCTGGAGGCCTGGCTTGGAGTCTCAGACCTCGAAGTCCCCAGAACCTCCTGGGATCCACAGAGTTGCTCAGACTGAAGGTTGGGAGGTGTAGGGGTGTGTGTGTGTGTGTGTGTGTGTGTGTGTGTGTGTGTGGTGTGGACACGTAATAACTTTAAGTAATAAAGATCTGAGAACTCTTGTGGACCCTGCCTACGTTGGGGCAGCCTGAACAACGGTGGCAGCTGGGAGTTGGGCTGGGTGGGGCCCCCGGTGAGTGGGTGGGGCAGGTGAGTGGGTGGGGCAGGTGAGTGGGTGGGGCAATGCGTGCGGCTGTGACCCCGCCCCCTGGCGCGGCGCGGTAAATAGAAGCTCAACCAAGCGATTGTGGCGTACTGGTGCTGGGACGCCTGCCGGCTGCTGCGTCTGGCTTCTGCCCTGGCCTGAAGTGGGTCTGGATCCCTCGCAGTCCCAGGGTGCAGCTGGTCCTGGTTGACATGGAGCACGAGGCTGAACGGTGGCAGACTGCGCACCAACCGGTCCTGGTGAGTCGGGTGCGGGGGCCCAAGGGCTGGCCCGGGGGGTGTTGGTGGAGTGGTGGGGAAGCGAATGAAGGATGAAGTGGAGAGAAGTAGAAATCCGTGTGGGGTGGTGGTTTACAAACAAAAGAGGAGTGGCTACAGCCCGAAGGATGGGTTAGGAAAGGGAGGGATGGGTGATGGGGGACATTTATTCCATTAACATTCATCTGGTATTGGAACCTGTGCTGGATTCTGCGGGTAGAAGGGTTCCAGGCAACTGGCCGCAGACTGGGAAGCAAAGATAAAAGTTAGCAAGTCAGCGTACAGGACAGGAAGGAAAAACTTATTTATTTACGCAAGATTGTACCATCTCATTTTATTTTACTTTATTTTATTGTTTATTTTTTATGTTACTGGGAATCAAACACAAGGCCTTGTGCATGCTAGGCAAACACTACCACTGAGCTACATTCCCAGCCCTCATTTTAATTTTTTTATGGTGCTGGGTATGGAACCCAGGACCTCATTCGAGCTAGGTAAGCCCTCCACCACTGAGCGACATCCTTAGCCTAGGCCACTTTGTTAGTAATAATTAGCAGAATATAAGTATGCAAATTGCGATGAAGAAGTACAAAGAAACTCTGGATCTAGGGACAGAGGTGTTTGATCTCACTTAGGAGGTTGAAGACACGTCAGGATTTGGTCTGGTACTAAAGAACTGGATTCCGCTTTAGAGGAAATGAAAGATGGGTGTTGAGATGGAGGCCCAGAGAGTGATGGGAAGAGTGGCCCTGGGGTGGGAGGCCTAGAGCCTGAAGCCATTCTGGGATGGAGTTGGTTGTTCCAAAATTGGTAGGAGAGTTTAAACTTTATCTACCAATTAGATTTGCATTTCTGAGAGTGCCCTGGAGGAGGTGGGCTGAATCAGAGTGTTCTGCAGCTGCAGATTCAACCATCCTAGAATTAAAAAAAAAAAAAAAAAATCAGAAAAATAATTGCATCTGTGCCGAACATGTACCAAAAGCAAAGTATGAGATGGAACAGGGTTAATAGGGCATTTTGGGGGAAGGGAGTGGTGGGCAAGAATAATCATAAGTTTTGGATGCTGTCCGTTTGAAGTGCCCGTGGGCTGTCCAAATGGAATCAAGCTGTAGGAAGGCGGAAAACCCAGGTGAGTTCTTCCTTGAAGCTAGATTTAAGAATAATTGAAATGTAAGTAGAAATTGACCCATTATCATGAGAATGCCCTGAGAGAACGGTGTAAGGGCAATCTGCAGGAGACTGGAGGAGGGGGCCAAATTGTAGAGAAAGAGAAAAGCCAGAAAAGTGTATCAGTGGGTTGGTGGCCAAGGGAAGGATACATTTCAAGAAGAGTATGGCACATAATCTCGGAAGCTCCAGGGAGGTCAAGCAAAGAGTCAGAGAAATGTTGATTAGATTTAGTGAAGACAGATCTGGAGAGATGGGAGCCAAGAAAAATTTGGGAGAATGATAGGGTGATGAAGCTATGTTTAGGCAACTCTAAAACTTGTGAAAGAAGATTATTCTTGAGTAGGAGTGGGGAAAAGGCTGAGTACCCCCAGAAATACCTACCTAATAGATTTGTGGTACTGAGGTTTAAACCCAAAGCTTCATGCATGCTAGACACACCCAACAATGTTATCTGGTGCTTACTGTGTGTTGACCTCATGTTTGCTGAGTATTTAGTGAGGATAAAGCAGATGAGATCACCCTAGGTCTAGAGTTAAAAATTTTTTTTTCCATCCTGGCCAAAACATGATCAAATCTGTCAAAATTAATTTTTCTTTATAGCATCTTATATTCAATCCTTATTCACAATTCTCTAAGTTTCCCTTTAAAGCAGGTATGTCCAAACCAGGATCTAATTTCAAGACAACATGCTGCATCTGGTTTATGTCCCTTGAGCCTCTTTGAAACTAGAGTGTTTGTTTGTTTGTTTGTTTGTCTTTGGTACTTTAGGGATTGAACCTAAGGTCACTTAACCACTGAGTCACATCCCAAACCCTTTTTATTATTTTATTTTGAGATAGGATTTTGCTAAGTTGCTGAGGCTGGCTGTGAACTTCTAATCCTTTTAACCGGGGAGAAAAAAACAGATTGATCTCTACATTCAAACTTAACCTTTTATCCATGGTCAGAAAACAATCTGTGTGATGTTACCAATCTGTATGTACCCAAATGTCCAGTTTCCTACCAGCCATTTACTTATTGGGGTTTTTTTTGGCGGGGGGAGGGGAGAAACTAAGGATTTAACCCCGGGGGTGCTTTACTACTAAGCCACAGCCCTTTTTATTTTTTATTTTGAGGCAAGGTCTCCTTAAGTTGCCCAGGGCCTCACTAAATTGCTGAGGTTGGCCTTGAACTTGCTCTCCTGTTTCAGCCTTTTGAGTCACTGGGATTATAGGCGTGTGCCACCGGGCCTGGTTTGCTTACTGATTTTAATACCAAATTTTAATTTTTTTCTCCATCAGAAATTTCATCAGGGAGTTGCAAAATAATGGCAGTCCCAGCATTCCTTCCAAATTCATTAGATTATATTCTTCTACTGTAAAGTAGGACTTAACTGGAATCATTTAGCAATTGTTATTTTCATTTGAGTTTGGATTGTTTGTTTTTTGTTTTGTTATTCAGTTTCCGGAGTTCTCCATACAGTATTTTAAAAAAATTTTCCTAATTAGTTATACATGACAGTAGAATGCATTTTGTCATATTGTACACAAATGGAGCGTAACTTCTCATTCCTCTGGCTGTACATGGTGCAGATCCATTCCAGTACTCCATATATAGACATATTTTGCAAGTATATTCTCTATTTTGTGAGTTTTCTTTTAATTCTGTTAGTAATGTTCTTTGCAAAAAAACAGTTTTTAAATTTAATTGTATGTGTGTGTGTTTGTTTCATCTTTTTAAAAAATTTATCTTTTTAGTTGAAGATGGACACAATACCTTTATTATATTTACTTATTTATTTTTTATGTCCCTCACATGTGCTAGGCAATCACTCTACCACTGAGCCACAAACTCCACCCATCAGTTTTTCTTTTTGATTCACAAATTTTTTTTAATTCTCATGGAGCTACTTTGTCAGTTTTTATTCTGTTGCCTGTGTCTTTATCATATCTAAGAAATCGCTGAGCAATCTGATGTCATGAAGCTTTATCCCATTTTCTTCTAAGAGGTTTTTTTTAGTTGTAGTTGGACACAATACCTTTATTTTATTTATTTATTTTTATGTAGTGCTGAGGATCCAACCCAGCACCTGGAGCTGAGCCACAGGGACAGCCCCTCCCCAGCCTTGGGGTCGGGGCGGGGTGATGGTGGTCCTCCTAAATCCACTCTTCTAAGAGTTTTGTAGTTTTAATCTCTTGCCTTTAGGTCTTGCTCCATTTTGAGTTGTTATATGTGTGTGTGTACATGTTTTTTGTTTTGTTTTTTAGTGTTTGGTAAAATTCACCAGTAAAACCATCAAGTCAAGGGCTTTTCTTTGTCTTGGAGGCTTCTGATTAGTGACTTAATCTTGTTATTAGATTTTATGGATTTTCAGTTTATTTGATTTAGTCTTGATAGTTTTGTGTTTCTAGGAATTTGTATATTTCCTCCTGATTATCCAGTTTGTTGGTGTAGCATTGTTCATGGTACTCTATGATAACCCTTTTTATTGTGTAGGATTGATAATGCCTCCTTTTTTCATATCTTAACTTGTAATTTAAATCTTCTGTTTTTCCTTAGTCTAGCTAAAGGTTTGGCAAGTTTGTTAATCTTTCCTAAGAACCAACTTATCTATTCACATTTACAGCTGTTCTTTCCCCCTCATCACTGCTTTGGCTGTATTCTCTAAGTTTGGGTATGTTCTGTTTTTATCTTCATTGATGTTATGGTTTAGATATTAGGTGTTCTCAAAAGCTCACGGGTGAGACAATGCAAGAACATTCAGAGAGGAAATGATTGGGTTATGAAAAGCCTTAAACTGAGTGAATTAATCCTCTGATGGGATTAGCTGTGTGATGGCTGAAGGTAGGTCCAGTGTAGCTGGAGTGGGTAGGCATTGGGCTTGTGCTTTAGAAGTATATATATTTTGTATCTGGCAATGGAGACCTCTCTCTACCTTCTGATCATGTGAGCTGCTTCTCTCTGCCATAATGTTCTTTCTCACCTTCTGCCCCAAGAAATGGAGCTGGCTGCCTATGGACTGAGACCTCGAAACTATGAGGCTCCAAATAAAACTTTCCTCCTCTAAAATTGTTCTTGTTAGGTCTTGTAGTTACAGAAGCAAAAAGCTGACTAAAACAATTGGACTCTTAAGTATTTTCCAAGTGATTTCTTATTTGACACACTGTTTTTTTGTTTGTTTGTTTTGTTTTGTTTTTTTGTACTGGGAATTCAACCCAGGGCCTCATACATGCTAGGCATACACTGTACCACTGAGCTACATTCTGGTCCTTTTATTAAAGTTTTATTTTGAGATAGAGTTATAGGCTGGTCTCCATTTTATAACCTTCCTGCTGCAGCCTCTGGGAGCTGGAATTACATGCACCACTTTTTGGTTCCGGGGATTGAACCCAGGGTTGCTTAATTACCAAGCAACATCCACAGCCCTTTTTATTTTTATTTTTTGACACACAGTCTCACTAAATTGCCCATGCTGGCCTCAAATTTGCAATTCTCCAGTCTCAGCCTCCCCAGTTGCTGGAATTAATAGCTGTGTACCATCACAACCAGCTTTGCCTCATATATTTTGATGGTCTATTATTAGGTACCTAAATGTTTACGATTGTTTTATCTTGCTGAATTGGGCCCTTTACTAATATATGTCTTTTGTCTCTTGTAATTTTTTCTTTAATTTAAAGTTGGTTCGTGTAGCCTCCTCCAGTTTTTACCGTTTGCTGTTGCATGGAGCATCTTCTCTTTTGCTTTCAACCTATTTGTGTCTTTGGCCTTTGTATCTAAATTGAGTTTTTTCTTTTTTGTGGTGCTAGGGATTGAACCTTGGGCCTCACACATGCTAACCAAGCACTCTACCACAGATCTTCATCCCCACTCCTAAATTGAGTGTCTTATAAACAAAATACATCATGTTTTTAAAAATCCTTTTGGCCAATTTGTCTTTTGAGAGTATAATCCATTTACATTTAGATTGAAGAGTAAAATCACATTTAAAATATTTACTGACAAGGAGAAATTTAATTCTTTGATTTTTTTTTATCCCTCATCTTCACCATTATGTCTTACTTATTTATTTTTTCCCTGTAGTGAAACTTATACAGTTTCCTCATTTTCTTTTGTATCTCTGTAACTATTTGTTGTTCCCATAAGGATTACACTTGATATTCTAAAGTTATATAACAGTAATTTGAATTTATACCAGCTTAACTTCAATAGCTTAACATAGTTTTATAGCATTACATTTTTATTCATTGTATGCTCAGAAATACAGGTTCATAATTTTTATGCATTAGTATCTTAAATTATGTAGAAAACAAAAAACGGAGTTAAAATCAAAGTTATAATAATCTTACTTTTTAAAATTGTCCTTGTATTTACGTTTCACAGAGATCTTTATGATAAATTTCTCTATATGGCTTCAAACTACTGTTGTCCTGTATCCTTTCATTTTTACTTGAAAGACTGTCATTAGCATTTCTTTCTTTTTTTTTTTGGTACTAGGGATTGAGCTCAGGGGCATTCAGCCACTAAGCCACATCCTTATCCCTATTTTGTATTTTATTTAAAGACGGTCTCATTGAGTTGCTTAGTACCTCACCATTTCTGAGGATCGCTTTGAATTTGTGATCCTCCTGCCTCAGCCTCCAAAGCTGCTGGGATTATAGGCATGCTCCACAGCGCCTAGCTGCCATTCGTTTCTTGCAGGGCAGGTCAAGTTGGAATGATCTGTCAGTTTTTGTTTCTCTGGGAATATCTTAATATCCATTTTCGGGGACTTGGGATTGAACTCAAGGACACTTGACCACTGAGCCACATCCCCAGCCCTAATTTGTATTTTATTTATTTAGAGACGGGGTCTCACTGAGTTACTTAGTGTTTTGCCTTTGCTGAGGCCGGCTTTGAACTCGTGATCCTCCAGCCTCAGCCTCCTGAGTCACTGGGATTACAGATATGCACCACTGTGCCGGGCTTAATATCCATTTTTGAAAGAGGCAGATTTGCCAGATATAAGATTCTTGATTGGTAGTTTTTCCCTTTAGCACTTTTAATACATCCAACCCCTGTCTTTTGGTGTACATGGTTTCTAATAAGGAATCTGGTGATGTTTTGAGACAGGACTCTCTAAGTCAGTAGATGGCCTCCAGCTTGTGATCCTTCTACCCTCACCTCCATAGTCACTGGGATTAGGCATGTGCCATGGTGCCTGGACATAACTTCTCTTTGATGTCAGATCTGTTCATGCAGTCGCTACTCGGGAATCCCTTTTCTATAGATAAATATTTGCAAATGGTGAAGTCAGGATCCATCTGAAGCCTACATTCTTGATGTCTTTGAGGATTTCTGCACTTATTCTGCTGGTTTGAGATATTTTCACCTTCATACATATAATCTGGAATTTGAGTGTGTTTTCAGAGTTTTACTGAAGGTAGCTTAACATGGAACATCTTGTTTTCTTTTTGTTGCTTTGTATGAAATAAAAAACAAACATGCCAACAGGAAGAGTGGCACAGCTTACACCTAGGCTCCGTCGTGCTCCTCCTGTCAACAAGACCTGCTTCGTAGCTCAAGCCAGAGAATAGTCTGGAAGTGGGTTAATTCAGACCAAAGATGATGGAAGCTTGGATTAGAATGGGATCTTGGGATGGGAAGGAGAGACATGTGAAAGTGGAAGTTCATCTTTTTTTTTCTTTTTTTTTTTCTCTCTCTCTCCTAGGATAACGAGAGAGCAATGTCCATCTTGGATATGTCTCTGTCTTTCAGAAGTGGCGGAATACACACCTCTTGGAACCACAGCCCACTAGACACTCAACACTGTCCTCAGGGCACAGAGATGTTAGGGACCTTTTTGGTGTCTGCTGAGGCACCTGTGCAGAATATGGGTGAAGTGGGGCCCCAGTTCGATGTGTTACTACCTGAGTACTCTGTGAACTGTTGCCCCCAAGCGGCTCTTGTCCCTTCCCAGATGACTTACTGTCAGGGAGTCTCTCCCTCCCAGCCAGGGATGATGATGTACGAGGAGCCCCAGATGATGATGCCTTTAGGAGAGCCCAGTATTCCAGGAATGGCCAGGACCTTCAGTGAAAATCTGAAGATACCCCCCAACAGTCTGCCAGTCCCAGATTCAAGTGGCATCTCCATGTCCCACACTAATGCCCCAACAATGCCTTATTCTGATCCCCAATTACTACCTTCTCTCAGACCCTCTTTAACTCCTAAAATGTTATGGGCCCCAAACATGCCCTCCACTGAGACCCAGCCTGTGCTTCCCTCCATGGTTCAGATGTTGCCGCCTAGAGATCCCTATGACCTTGTGATGCCCTCAGATAGGTCCCAGTCTTTGCCGACCTTAGACCCCCTTGATGCTCTTGGGGACAAGTTAGACTGCCAGGAAGACCTCTTCCTACCTGAGCCGCCCATCCAGGCTCCAAGGAGAGCAGAGAACTCCAGTGGCCAGAAAGCAGCACCCAGGAGGAAATCTCCCCTTTCAAGGCCTTATTGCTGTCAGTATAAGAACTGTGGAAAAGCCTATACCAAGCGCTCGCACCTTGTGAGTCACCAGCGCAAACACACAGGTGAATGAGGTACCAGATGGGGAGGAGATAGAGGAGTCTGGGCTTTTTTTGGTCTGTGCTGGAGCACAGATTTGTAATTTCTTAGGATTAACCCTTCATCTTTCAAGCTTGGACCCAAGCTACACTGACCCCACCAACTTGCCATCCAGAATGACTGCCAAGATGACTGGAGTGGCACTGATCATTGTTGTCCCTCACTGGTTTCCTGAATCTTCCTTTTTGATTCCCTGATCTTGACTGCTCTTGTTCATAGTTATATCTCTCCCATCCCACCTTTTGACTCCATCTACTAAATTTCATCTCTCCTTGTCACTCCCCAGGTGAGAAGCCTTATAGATGCACCTGGGAAGGCTGCCCGTGGTCTTTTTTTCGTTCTGATGAGCTTGGACGACATATGCGGATACACACCAGGTATCGACCATATGCATGTGATCAGTGTGGCCGACAGTTCATGAGATCTGACCATCTCCGGCAACACCAAAGGATTCATCAGCCCCTGCCAGGGCAGATCAGCAGTGGACAAACAGATGGTCCTCTTGCTCCTGGTCTTTAGGTCTATCTCTTCCTCAGTTTTGTTTTTCTACCCAGTTGCTGCCTGCCTCCAACCAACTCATCTCTTGGTAGGAGCAGCTTAGATGAAGATGAAGTTTAAGAGGCAACATCAAAGCCCAGATGAAGCTCTGGACTCCATCAGAGTTTCCTCAAATCCCTCAAAGCCTGTCTTGAATGGCCTCGCCTCGCTGGGGACACCTACTGTTGAAGTTTTGCCAGACAGGAAGATGAGCACAATGGAGATTGAGAGCTTTATTTAAAAGCTCTTTATCAAGTCGCTCCCTGGCCTGAAACCTTTTAGTGACTCTCCTTTGCTGCTACATAAAATCCATGGTTTGGTCTTCCACAGTTTCCAGAGCCAGACTATGTTCAAATCCTGAGCTTTCCACTCACTAGCCATGTGACCTTAGGAAAAATCTGTGATCACTATACCTTATTTCCCCTTCTGGAAAATGGGAAAGACGTACTGGCCTGTATTGGATATGTCATATGTATGGCATCAGATTCTTTGCTTCTTTTTTCTTTTTTTTTTGGTGGTGGTTTGTTTTATTTTGTTTTTGGTACCAGGGCTTGAACCCAGGGTCGTTTAAACTGAGAGCTACATTCTGAGTTGCTTAGGGCCTTGCTAAATTGCTGAGGCTGGCATTGAACTCTCAAGCCGCTGGGATTACAGGCATGTGCCACCACACCCAGCTGCATCGGATTCTTTTTGTCGCTCACCATCCACATGCTTAGAGTTTGTCTCTTCCAAACTTGTGGGCATGGGGTCTGGCATTCCATGCACCCACAGCAACCTTGAAGTGTAGGGCAATTCATGCTCTAAGGGGAAGATTTGACTAATGAGAAATGGGAAGTAGGAGAAAGCCATGCGGATGAATTCTGCCTTCTCTCCCTTCCATGAATTGCTATAAGGCATTATTTCTCCCATACAGCCAAGCCTCTGGGGAGATTCCCAAGTAGGCAGGGCATATGCATGCTGGGCCTCTTCAAGGCTTGTCATGAAGCAGTGTCCAGCTTGGAAGCAATCACTGCATTACCTACCGTTCACCCCTGCCTTGCTTCCATTTTCTCACCACTAATGCCTTGGGTTTGTACCTCCAAAATAAAATATCAGCATTTACTTCTTGGTTTAGGCTCTGTTTTCTAGGTGAGTTGGGTGGAAGAAGAGGAGGACATTAGCCTGGGGTAGAGAAGGACAAACCCCAGGCATGTTCACTTCTCCCCCACTTGGTACCTGGATCACCAAGTATTAAGTAGGAACTAATCCTGTCCTGCTCTCCTGGAGTTGAGGGAAATGATTATCCTGGAAACAGTCCAGTAGTTTAGAACCTTATTGTGGACTCAGCAGGCCATTTTACTAACCAGTAAACTAATAGTAAGAAAGGAACTTGATGAAGCTATCAAGTGGCAGAGCTGGGACCCCAGCCAGAGGTGAATCTCTTCCCTAAGATGGTGCCTTCCATAGGTGTTGGCCTGAGTATAGCCAGCCACTGCCAAGTGATGGTGCAGAGGTGAATCAGATATATTTCCTGACCTTCTTGATCTAGGGGGCACCTAGGTAACTGTGGCCATGAGGAAGAGAAGCCCCTAGCCCTCAGTCCTTGCAGCCAGCGATTGGGTGCTAACATTACTTATCCCTGTTACCCTTGGTCACCTGGCTGAGGTAGTGCTTGTTAGGTTTCTTTATTGTGAAATTACTCAATTTCCTCACATTGTACCCTTTATAAGAAAGTGAGCTCCATCTGCCTTTTGTTAAATATGCACATTCTGAATTTGGGTAAAGAGCATCTAGAGGCCCACCCCAGGTATGCTAGCGCCATCAGTGGCTCAGTCGAAGGCAGCCAGACAGGATAGGGTCGGTACAGGGGTGGGAGGGCAGGGGGCCAGCACAGCCAAGTCTGCAGGACTTCTGTGTATCAGAACGCTTGAACCTACAGAGGTCCTGATTCTCTCCTTGACAGCACTAAACACTTTCAGAAGTTTCGTCCATGATCTTTCTGTTCCACTATGGAGACAGCATGCCTCTGTACCTCTGAACCCTTAGAGCTCAGCACAGAGCATGACCAAGGGTTTGCGTCTAGTTAATGGGAGGCAAGGCTAACTAACCTCCTTGAAAGCTTTGGGTCTGAATTGTGAACCTGAGAAGTCTTCCCTGATACATCCTTCAGTTGTGTGCACGTTCCTCACCCATGGGTCTGCAAAGCCTGGTGCTCTCTGTATTAGGAGCAACTGCCAGAATATCTCTTCCAGGGATATTCTTCCCTCTTTATTCACCAGCTTGGTTTATTGACACAAGGGTGTTCTAATATTACACTCTTGGGTTCAAGGGTCACCTCCCTCCAGAAAGCCTGTCTGACTACCCCTTTGCTTAAACACAACTTTGGGGAGGGCCAGATTGCTTGTAGGGATGCAGGAGGGAAGGCCTGGTTGGTGACCCATCACTTGCTGAGGAATGGATGTGGGAAGAAACCAGAGTGGACAGTGGTGCCCCAAATGAGCTCCTGCCCCTGTAGAGGTCATGACCTAGTAGAGGAGGGGTGTTATTAGAATGTCTTATGTTATGAGAAGAAGAATGGATGCGCTTATTTTCTATTGTGGTGTCTATCGTACATGAAAAAATATTTCATATGTGTGCAATTTAAAGAATGATGAGTATTTAGCCTTTGGGAAAAAGGGTAAATACTTGAGAAAAAGAGTTAACTAGTACATTTGAGATCTGTGTTAGTCATTCATCCCTGCTATTATTTTTAATCATATATCCATACATAACTATACGTATATATGCTATATATATATTCCTGAACAATAAAGTGATTGGTTTTGTAAGATTTTTACTTTGTTTATTCTCTCCATTGAATTTCTTTAATCTGACGGTTTATAGTCAGTAAGATTTAGAAAAAAATTTTACTTTTTTTTTTTTTTGGTCATGCTGGGGATGAACCCAGAATGCCGTGTGCTGGGCAAGCACTCTACCACTGAGGGACACTCCTGGCCCTTTTGTTTGTTTGCTGTTTTTTTGAGAATGAGTCTCACTATTTTGCTCAAGATGGTCTCATTGAACTTGTGGGCTCAAGTGATCCTTTCATCTCAGCCTCCAGAGTAGCTGGGGCTATAGGTATGCTCCACCAAGCCTTCCTCACCTTTTGATACAATCCACCCAAAGGGTAGACTGCTCCATATTGTCCTATAGGTCACTGATGTTCATTCTATGTTCAATCTTTTTTCTCTCTTTTTTTTTCCCTGCTGCGTTTTAGAGATCCTCAATTTCATTGATCTTTCCTTCTGCAGTGTCTAATTGCTGCTAGTTTGAACCAGTATGTTTTCCACTTCAGATGTTAAATTTTTCATCTCTAGACATTCCATTTGGATATTCCTAAAAATATCTTCTAGTTTTCTCCTAATTCTCATGTTTCCCCTTTACCTTCTTGAATGTAGAAAGATATATACTCTGTTTTAATGTCCTCAGATGCTAGCTCCATTACATTTGACATTCTGGGGTTCCTATTGATTAATTTTTTTTTACTGGTAATTGTTCTTATTTTCCTATTACTTTACATAGCCAATTTTTTTACTAGATACCAGAAATTATGAATTTACATTGTTGGTTGCCATATTTAATTCTAATTCTTTAAATTGTCTTATTTTGCTTTTTATTTTCTGGCATGAATTTTCTTTTTTGGATCTAGTTGAATCCCTTTCAAGCTTTTAAGTTTTTTTAAAAGATAGGCCCAGGGGCTGGGGTTGTGGCTCAGCAGTATAGCATTTGCCTAGAATGTGTGAGACTCTGGGTTTGATCCTCAGCTCCACATAAAAATAAATAAAATAAAGGTATTGTGTCCAACTACAACTAAAAAAAATATATTGAAAAAAAAAAAAAAGACAGGCCCAGAGCTACCTTTTTCTTTTCAACTACTGCACTACTACTAAGGCAATATCCCAAGTATTATGCCCAATGTTCTGTATATTATGTCTTTGCCTTTGGCAAGTGGAAACAAAACTATCCCAGTCCTGAATTATTCTGCCTTGTTCTTTCTAGTGGTAGTTTACCTAGTCTTTCTTTCCTAGTCCCTCTTCTTTTCTTCTTTTGGTATTGGGGATTGAACCTGAAGATGAATCAGAGAGCCCCACCACTCTTACCTGGACCTCTTGGCTTTCAAAAATAAATTATGACTGCCAGGTGCATTGGTGCACACCTGTAAAACTAGCAACTCTGGAGGCTGAGGCAAGAAGATCACAAGTTTGAGGTCAGCCTCAGCAATTTAGCAAGGCCCTAGGTGACTTGATGAGACCCTGTCTCAAAAAAAAAAGGTCATGTGAAGTCCTGAGGGGGCTGAAGGGGCTGAAGGATAGGGACTGAGGAGAGCTACCAATGGATTGGAGGTGCTGATGAAGTCAGAGCACTGGTATATTAAGAACAAATGAGGGGCTGGAGCTGTGGCTCAGTGACAGAGTGCTTACCTAGCACATATGAGACACTAGATTCGATCCTTAGCACCACATTCAAAAATAAGCAAATAAAGACATTCTGTTCATCTATAATTATGAAATTTTTTTAAAAAAAATTAAGAACAAATGAGTGAGGCTGGTGAGATGAGGAATGGTGAGTGGGTGCTTTTGTAAGTAGAATAGTTTCAAATGATGATAAAATTCAGGATATGTCCATAGAATTAGTTGGCTGTGCTGCCCTGGAGGTGAAGGTTTTAGGAAATGTGGAGGAGCTCGGTATCATTTGGTTCATCCCTGGATGGTACCCAGAACCATGGCTAGAAGTTGGATAGAGAAATTACATGAGGCAGGTGGACAAATTCTTATGGCAATGAGTTCAGGTGACCGGGGAGGTGAGTAGAGAACCGTGACCAGGAGCAGAAGGGTGAGGAAGAGGAGGATAACATGTAAGCAATGTCATGGTGAGAGATCCAGAAACAGGAGAGGGGTGGAGAGAAAGAGAGGTCCTCACAAGGCAGCCATGTGGCAGGGTGGCAAGGAGGGTAGAGGAGGGAC